GGGAGGCCACTACGGCCCTGCTCTCACCACCTCCTTGAAATCCTGGATCCGCCATTGCCCCCATAGGAACTTCGCCTCAGCTACGGCCGCTCACTATACATCCGCGTAATGACCGTAGCTGGATCGGCCTACTGAGCGTAGATATTACCTGTAACGACGTATTTTACCTCGTTTGTTCATTCCGCCACAGTATGTTGTGGATGAACGCTATCTCAAGAACGTTTTCAACCGAACCGATCATCATTGTGCACATCGAGAATTTTATCATTATGCACATTCCTCGCGGTCGTTCATCTGCCAATAACTCTCACCAAATCTCGCTAATTACCGGCGGACACGGAAACCCTGAACGCGGAACTTCTCTTACCACCACGATGGACCGCAGCGACGAGAATTTACCCCAACATTCCCTGTTTGCATCGCGTGACCGGGCCAGGCGCGTAGTACCATAACGCAGATACGCCAGTACCTAACATCATTTCACCAAAACATTTGCTTTTATTGCAGTAGAGAGAGAGAGCAGAGAAGAATGAGATAGAGAAGAGAGAGAATGAGAGAGAGAGAGAGAGAAGATGATAGAGAGAAAGAGAGAGGGAGAGAGAGCAAGAGAGAGAGAAGAGAGAGAGAGAGAGAAGAGAGAGAGACGAGAGAGGAGAGAGAGAGAGAGAGAGAGAGAGTGAGAGGAGCGAGAGAGAGAGGAAAAGAGAGGAGAGAGGAGAGAGAGAGAGAGAGATAATAAATAAGAGTCTTAATAATAAAACAAACATTACATGATTAGTTATAGTGGTTGGTGGTTGGTGGTTGGTGGTTGGTGGTGGTTATAGTAGTTGGTGTTAGCAAGGACACGCAACCAGTAAAAATCGGCCATAAATATATGGAAAGTCAAGTTGATGATGTATGATCGATGCAGCCGATCGAGGGGAGGTAGAGAGAAGCATCAACAGGGAGTTGCAGGGGTCTCAGCGTGGGCCATCCGCGAGAGACTAGGACAAAGAAGAAGAAAGAAGAAGATGTGAGGGGTTGATGTAGGAAGGTCAGCCCTAGTAGACGTCTCAGCGTGGGCCATCCGCGAGAGACTAGGACAAAGAAGAAGAAGATGTGTGCACCCACCAAGTATCTTGTTGTCTTTCGTCAGTTGACTTTGCCCAGCTCGTGCGAGCAGTGTAAAAGCTCGCTCGTTTTTCCAAAGCGCGACTGGGTCGTTAAGTTTAGCTTCGAAATGGAAAATACTATATTTTTTAGGAATGAATATGAGTGAAAACACATCAGTTATCAGATTTATCAAAAAAAGATGTTTTATCAGCAACGGTAGTTCCGTAGCGTTGAAATACTCATAATCTATTGACGTTTTGTTTTATAATCCGTACCACAAGTTACACAAACACCAATGAATAATGTAACAACTTGTATACTATACTATACTACACTACACTACACTACACTACACTGCACCACACCACACTACACTACACTGCACCGCACTACACCACACTACACTACACTACACTACACTACACTACACTACACTACACTGCACCACACCAAACTACACCGCACCGCACCACACTGCACTTGCCACTACACTACACTAACACTACACTACAACTACACTACACTACACTACACTACACTACACTACACTACACTACACTACACTATACTATACCATACGACCTAGCAACAGGTATTATTCAAGTAGCTATATCAAAACTCAATACCTGAAGCGGGAAACACACTATGCGAATTTCGCGGCGATTTTAACAATCGCTGCGCTCGTGCGAATAAATTCGCATGGTGTGTACCCCGCGCTAAACGTGCTATAGTGTCACGAGAAACTCATATATATATGTATATGTATATATATATATATATATATATATATATTTGATATATATGTATTGAAACCTGACACCTAATTTCCTGCCAGTAGAGTGACCAGATCCATGTTTGTTCATAATTAGTAGTAACATATAATACAATGGTCTCTACATTATCACGTTTGCTCTTCAAAGGAAATTCGAGCTAGATGGCTAGAGGCACACGTACGCGCATCCACTCAACGATATTCACTTTCAGTCGTTCACGGAATCGATTCTTCATTCGTGTAGCGTGCACGATAGACACCACTAGCGTAGACGATATCTCCTAGTTGCGCCTCCCGAATCAGTATATCTTCATAATGCATTGACAGGTGGTATCGCTTTATAGCTTGTGTGTGCGTATATACGTGTAAATTCATGGCAGAAAGGAGTAGGGCATTCACAAAAGTACACCTGTTTGATGTAACAACAGGTATCACGAATGAAAGTGTCAATGACACTGTAGCTCACCTTGGGTGTGATAGAAGAGGGAGGAATATATAAAGCAAGAGTATATATGGGTGAACTCCCATATATGGCCATATCTCCCATTATTATTCTCTTCATTATAATATATGCCATAAGTTTTTGAATGCGAAAATAAATGTTTTCAGACCGTAAGACGGTAAATCATTGACCGTAGGCAGACACTGAAATGCATAGTGAAATGCTAAAATCTACCTAATTTGATAATTAAAAAAATCAAACCCGTGTGATATGTTTTGTGGGCCAGCCCATATTCATTCACATACCAGGAAATGAGCAAAATCCGTGAGCCTGAAACTGACTTATGGCCATTTCCATTTTGCCAAAAAAGTGGCCGTGGCTCGAAAGTAGGTCGACTGGCGTGCTCCAAAATAGCGACGTTCAACCCTCTCCCATAGGAGTACAACTGTATGCCAATTTGAAACATGTGGGTAAACGTTCTTGAGTTACGTTGACGTAGACCAAATGTTGGACGAAACGGCAGGCGACGGGGGACGGACGGACGGGGGACGGACAGACGGATGGACGGACGTACGACGGACAACACTCCATGGCTAAAAATGAACAAATATACCTTGGCAAACTTACATTTCCCACCTCCCTTAATAATTTGCAAAAGGTCAGCGATGCCTCAAATAACATACATGTAATATATGAATGCACAGAAGGCAGGTTAAACACACGAGAAAGTCTTGTTAATTTCTTTTTTTTTACACATAAAATGTATTTTTCCTCATATATTTTTGATGACACAAATTTATTGGTTAAATTGACAAGTGCACGGAATACTTAACCAATGAAGACTACGGGACATTTTATTAATGAATGAAGCCTACAGACCCTGAGTCATGAACGAAAATACATAGTAGAAAAAAACAGTTTAAATGACATATTTACAGTTAACTGTCAGTTGCAGATGAAACGTATGCTTGGAGACTCTATTCTATTGGGACTGTTTCTATTATTATTATTAGATATTATTATTTGGGTCACCTGTAAGGACAAAACCTGGCCCAGTGTCCTCTTCTACCTGTTAAATAGACAAGATAAATAATAAATATCACTTTATTCTAGAGTATATAGTTACCTACTAGTTTCACAGATACTATTAGGAGAAACCATATATATCCAATTGTAAATAAAAAGAATTAAGAATATTAATTGTTACTAAAGTTAATATTATTAAGTTGTGAATTCATGCTGGCTAATTTATTGCACGTGCATGTGCATATGATATAATTCACTTTTAACATCGACTTTTAATAATACGGCCTTTGAATTTTACTCACCACAGTTAAAACAAGCTCCACCTCCATAGTAACCATACCCCGCATAATCACTTTCCTCCGAGTCATCTGAAAATAACATGAACACATTTGTTTACTGTGTACGTATCCTTATCATACAATCTGTATTTAAGCTGTGTATCATTGATATTGTACGCGCAATTCTATACACCTGTTCTACTTTGTTGTGTAGATGTGTGTATACCCCGTACGCAGACTCATGTTAAAGAAAATCGCCCACGTGGAATTTATTAAATCATCAACACTATCTATCACATCTAATCACTAGGAATGAGCGGGGGGATCTACCAAACAATATTGCGTGCTCAAACATTATGCAGCCACCGTGCAACAAGTCGGATTACCTACTTCAATTCGACCAAAAAATTATCCGTCGAAACGACTCTCCAATTATGTAATGGAAGTCAATGGGACAATGTGGTTCATATTACAGTCATTTCACGTTGCAAACGTTTTGTCTGGAACGTAAGTATCGAGGCAATTATGAATACCCCGCGTCGTGAAAACCCAGATAATGGGATTACGCAAACTCGTGCGCAAGTAATTTCAAGCTTGTGGCCACTTTAACAGTCATACTAAACGAAAATATGCTCGCATCTGGTTTTTTATGCGGGCTTAATACGGTGTTTCTGCTTAAAGGTGTGCTGCTCAATTGCTGTTAAATAACATTCATGTGACAGATATGCAGACTGCTGTCGCTACATCGAGTGGGTACCCCTTTTTGACCTTTGATATGTGTAAAGCTGGGTTTACACTACTGTATACGCTGTATATTTCGCCGGGGTTTAACTTTCGCAAATTTCGCGAACGCGGCCCAGAAAACGGTTCTGAGGGGGTCTAATTTTAAAATTTTTCTGGGGGAGGGCCCCCCACACCCACCCTTCGCGTGCTCGCAAGTTTGGGTTACGGTTAGACCCCCCCTGCTACAAATCCTGTACACGCCCCTGTACTTACGCCATGAAGGTACACTGCTAGCGTAGTGCGTGCCGGCATTCTTACACAGGCAGTCATTCAAGATTGTAATGACCATGGCTGCTAACACAGGCCCGTAGCCAGCTTTATATTGGGGGGAGGGGTTCGTTTTTCAATGTTGGCAATTTGCTCGGCAGGGGCGTGTACCAGGATTTGTACCAGCGGGGGCGTCTACGTAAACCCAAAATGTTGCTGACGCACCGCAAGGGGGTCTGGGGGAAATTTTTAAATTGACCCCTCAGCATGCGTTTTCTGCGCGAGCAAGGGGGGGTCCGAACTCCTGGACCCCCCCCCCCCTGTATCACGCCCCTGCTCGGGCTGCGAAGCGACCAGGCGAGGAGCAAGCGACGAGCGGGGGGAGGGTGTGGATGAGAGGGAGTGGTTCACTGTTCACCTCCCGCACGATGGAGATTTTGCACTTATTACACTAATGGAGCGACACTGAAGGTGAATTCTTGCAATTTTGGGAAACTAAAATTTTTTGGTTCTGGTGGGGGCGTGGGCTCGGGGGGGGGTTCGTTTCGACACCCAAAACCCTCCCTGTACGGGCTGCTAACACACGTTTACCTCAGCTGTGCGTACTACTTTTCAAGGGCTTCGGAGCACCTAATCCTAGTATACACTTATCCGTGCACGAAACCACAGACAACTGAGCAGTGTGAATTGCAAAACGCGTCAGTCGGGGGGGGGGGGGCAACCTATAGAAGTCCGTCGAGAGGCCAGTCAACACGTTTAATTTCATTAACAGCAGCTGATCGAGCACGCGCTGCTGAGGAGACGGTAACGCAACGATTCTCATTACGGAGAAAATTCAGCTTCGCACTACATCTGAAATCATTTAGTATACCCTTAACATCATACATGCCAATTTTTGTGTCTTTACCACAAAACCCCATAGTCTGGTAATAGAGCATTTTGACCGAGAAAAAAATGTGCAAAATATTACTAACTATAATATTATTATAAAAAGAATGACTCATACAAAAATTTACCCAAAGGAGATTTTTGCGGATTTTAGGACATTGTTGTTCTACTCAGATTCTGCTTCGCTTTGATCACTCAAAACCAGCTTTATACCATTTTTTTCCGGGTAGCATCGATATTTCACATTCAACTACTGGACTACCACAATTCTTTCACATATCCGCCTCCATTACCTGAGTTCCTCATTGCATTGTCATCGTCGTCATCATCGTCATTGTTGTCGTCGTCGTCGTCGTCGTCATCCTCCTCAGATGAGATGATGAGTGTGTAGACGGGCTGTTCTGCCACCGCCGCCGCCACCGCCGCCGCCGTCGCCACTCTCGCGCGCGACCGTGTTCCCATCCTCCCTGCGGGCGAGAGACGCAAGTCACACTACTGAACTGAACTCAAGAACCCACTGATGAACTCATTTTTAGAGACGTCACCTGATTACTTTTGGAGAATCATCGATGAACTCATGGATGAACTCATTTGGAGAACCCATCAATGAACTCATTTGGAGAACTTTCATCAATGAACTCCTTTGGAGAAATCCTCGCATGAACTCATTTGGCAGAATTCTGTATGAACTCATCTTGGAGAACTCTTTCAGATTGACTTACATTTGGGAGCAGATTCATGATTGAACTCATTATGGAGAAATCACTGAATGAACCTCCATTTCCGCGAGACTCATCGATGAACTATGGATGAACTCCATTTGGAGAGACTCAGCAATGAATCATTTGAGAGAATTCATTGATGAAACTCATTTGGGAAATCCTGTATGAATCATTTGACGAGAACTCATCAATGAACTCATTTGGGAGAATCGATTGTCATGAACTCATTTGAGAGAACTCACTGAATATGAAATCTTCATTTGTGAGAAATCATTTGATTGAACTCATTATTGGAGAAACTCAATCGATGAAACTCAGTTTGGAAGAACTCCATCAATGAAACTCATTTCGGAGATTCATTGATCATTGATGAGAAACTCACTGATGAACTCATTTGGAGAACTCATTGATGAACTCATTTGGAGAACTCATCGATGAACTCATTTGGAGAACTCATTGATGAACTCATTTGGAGAAATCATCGATCGCGCTGTTGCTGTTTATGGTGTTCGATTTGAAGAAAGAAGGCATAGCATGGATTGCACCTCATTAATAACCCCTTACACCTTGCTCCCTGCACATTATTAACCCTTGACTTGATGCGATCAAATTTCCACCAATTAGAGGATGCCGTGTAGAAAAATAACATAGAAATTAAAAATAGCACTAAATTACACTGAAAATATTTTCACTGTTATCAGCTTTTGAACAGCTTGACATCGCCTGTAAGTAGTATAATTATACTATGTACTGCCATATATGATATAGTATGCTATAGCAGTATGCTGTATAGACCGCTCGCCTGAACGATAATCACTAGTAGCCAAGCTGCAAGCAAACACAGCAGGGAAAACACTTTCTGTGCATATGCAAGCGCTATCACAATCACAATTTCCACACAGTCATATGGACTCCTATTGATGCAAGTTATGTAATACGAGAGAGTAAGTAAAATGGAAAGCTATTGATTTGGACACATGATAACGTCAAGCACTGACATCATCATGTGTCAAAAATAATATGTCCATGAAAAAACCAATATTACTCGTGGTAAAATCAATGTTGCCTGCTAAGCGGTGCTGCCCCCTAGCATAAACACTTTCTTGCCCCCAATGGCCCCCACGACATGCGACAAAAGGTTTGAACTAGTGGGCGATATATCAGATCTGGTATAAAATAAAGCCAGTATAAGCAGCCAAAACAAACTCCTGTCAGATTTCTAGACAAACATTTGCCATATGAATCAACACAGGTGTCACTGGACTGTGATTATGTACGGGAAAAATATTTACGGATGATGGTAATTGAATGCTGTTGTGTTCATTATCGTTGCAGTGTTTTATCCTCAAGGGCAAGGGAAATATTCTCCCTAGAACGTGAAGCCACTGGAGTGTTATTTCATCCTGAATGGACATCCTGAATGGACATTAGGACAATTATTGATTGGTTGTTTAAGCACGCACGCAGGTACACACACACGCACACACACGCACACACACACAAACGCACGCACACACGCCCGCACGCACGCACGCACGCACACACACACACACACACGCACACACGCACACACACATATAATTCCGAGGATAATTCTTGTGTTCGTTTAGGGAGTGGTTACTTGTCTTTTCCCGCACAACAGTGAGCAGGAGACCCATCTACGCAGTTGAAAACACGGTGTGCCTGGCCAGCTAACGTCAACAACGGGCACGAGCAAGAAAGGCCTGGAGCATTTCCTCGTGACGCATATCCAAGGCACCATAATGCACTCGAGTTATATAGTTACCGAGGAACAATATTAACGTCATCGCAGAATATAGCACAGCTCACGTAGCACATTTTAATATGTCTAGAGTGCACATGATTTCCCGACTGGTTGGGTGTGTGCATTATCGGGAGCGAACAGAAACTAATTTGCTAATTTGTTTATATTGGCTCCTGATATTGTGACTGACAACCCGCTGCCATGTACAGGTAGGTCCCGTTTTACGACAGGGTTAGATTCCAGTGAAACAGGGTCGTAAAACAAGACCAACTTATAATGCAATTAAATGCTATCATTCCACCAACAACGCCACCACAAAAAACAAAAGAAGCGCATATTGCGTGTTTGGCCTCGCAGGCGTTGCTGCCACGTGTTATTGAGTTGCGATTTTTTTGTTATTTACAATTTTTTTGGTAATTTTGAAAAGGTCGTTAATGTGAAGTAGTAAAATGGACCATCGTAAAACGGGACCGACCTGTATACATGTTATATACGCATCACTGATGCCCCCCACAGTTAGCAATATGTAGCACCCAGGGTTAAGCTGGACGAAATAAAATTGGCAGCAATTTCCTGAATTTGGCTAATTTGGTCTGAAAATGTTTAGCCATATTAGGCTTTACTTAAGCTGGGTTTACACTACCAACTTTATGTTGTCAAATTGGCGAATTGGACCAATTTCTCAACTATACAAGCGACAATCGGCAGTGTAAACGCAAAGTCGCGCGAGCAACTGGTCGATAGCAACTAGTTGGGCGATTAGAACATGTTCTATTATTGCCAACTGGTTGCTATCAGAGGTTGTATTACGGGGAGGTGACAGTGGGCAATCCACCATTGACCATGTAACAGTATCCACATTTCTCTGGTGGGGGGGGGGCAAGTGTCCCCTACTAGCTATGTCCTTACATATGTATGAGCATATGTAAGGACAGTGATTTTCCGCGATCGCGGAAAACGGACAGAAAACACGGAAACGGCCATTGGAAACGGAAAAGATGTTTTCAAATGGAAAACACGGAAAACGTAATTTGAACATATTACATGGAAATTTCAATAAAATCACACAAAAAAACGTCGACAATAGCATTGGTAATGATATGGTTTACATTCAGACAAGTTTCAGAGCGAAATGACTTACAATTACGACTTTTGGTAGCCCTGTGTTTCGGTTTCAAAGGTTGTACCACATACCTTTTTTTCATGCAAATATATGTAAACGGAAGTTTGCATTTTTGGTGTGTACAATCTCTATGGCAAAACGGAATTTCCGTTTTTTTACTTTGAAACGGAATTCATGATTTCCCCGAACGGAAAAGGCAATTTTTTGAAACGGAAAATCACTGTCCCTACATATATGGGAATGTATATGGTCACGGTAGGACGTATCTTAGGCAATGTAATATCTGACAATGTGACGACAACATAAACCATACCTGATGTCGCTATTTCTATTTCTGCTCCCATTATTTCTGGCACCACTTCACAACCTTCGGATTTAGAACGGTCTGAAAAAAATCGTCAAAACGTCCCATAAATACCAAAATGCTTCCTTAATTTGTTTCCACAGATAGCTCTGCAGACATTCCCTTAATCCGGGGTCACCGAATCACAAAATTCTCATCACAACACCGTCGAAGACCGCAAAGCTTCCTTCTCCTTTCCAATGCTGCTCCGTTTTATTTTCTATTCCCCACGCGCGAGACGTTTTCCCGACAAACTCCAACATCTGCAACGCCGTCTGAACAGGATCTCATTACGATGGGCCGAACAGCGAAACGCCAACGCCTTTCCCTGTTACTGTGTTTACCCGTCTTTCCCTCCATTCTGAAGGCCGCGAAGCCATCAGCTCGAAACCAGATCTGATTGCGACAATAAAGATGCTAAAAAATGACATGAATTTGCCTACAGCGAAAATAAAGCGACCATACAGCATATGATTAGGGGTGTAACGATCAACCGCGATTCAACTGTACCCGCGGTACATCCCGTTCGGTTCGGTTTTCGTTTTTTCGTTTCGTTTCGGTTCTCGGTTTGATTCCGGGAAATACATTCAACCCACTCTCAGTTAGGGGGGCGCACACAGCGAGCAAACAGCTCAGCACTTACGCCAAGCCCCGTCCTCGCACTACATTTTGGTCAGGTAGATCACTTTAATGAATAGTATTATGACTATTATCCTTGAACTGTATCACTTTATTGTCTTTTGGCCAATGAATAACACAATAAATGTATAATATTATGATAGGTATTATTATTATTATTCAAAATGGAGGGAAAATTTCCCCATCTTCTCAGCATTTTTACTACTGAAAATAACCGAACCGAAGAGCAAAAACCGAAAACTGAACCGAACCGAAACAAAATGTATCGTTACACCCCTACATACGCTCTTCCGCGACGCGTCTCTCCCCACCACGTCACCTCGACTTCGACTGCTGCGCTGAGAGACGATTTCCTCGCGTCGTCGCTTCAGGTCTTCGCCGAGATGCGCGACCGTGCTGTTGATGTAGCTGTCGAGCACGACGGAGCGCGAGATCGACGCGATGGCGGCGCGGCAGTTCGGACAGTCGCGCTTGCGCTTCATCCACTCCCCGATGCAGCTCGCGCAGAACGAGTGAGAGCAACCGAGCGTAGTCGCCTGCGGAGAGCGGAAAACGGCGAGTCGAATTCATGTTACGTTGCAGCGAACACTGTTTTATTACGTATATATATGTACACCTTATACGTAGCATGGTCGCCTGCGGGGCA